CTTTCTGAAACTCAATTAAAACTGAGCTCCTTGTCTTTCCTCCTCCTAATACTGATCCTCCTCTCTCGCTCTCCTTTCAAGTCAGTGATATCCACATAAGTCCATCCTTGCAAGCATGCTATCTTGGCGTCATACTTGACTCTGGCCTCACCTTTGAGCCTCACATCCAGTTTGTTGCCAAATCCTGTAGGTTCCAACTCAAAAACATAGCCCGCATCCGCCCCTTTCATACTCAAGATGCGACCAAAGAGCTTGTTCCTGTTCTAGTAATTTCCCGCATGGATTATTGTAACCCTCTCCTGATTGGTCTCTCCAAAAGCCGTATTACCCAGCTACAGACTGATTTTCCTCTCTATTCGGTCCTCTCACACATCACCCCTCTGCCAGTCCTTACATTGGCTCCCTGTATCCTATAGGAGTCAATTCAAAGTGCTAGCCCATACATTTAAAGCACTGAACAATTCTAGCCCCTCTTATATCTCCTCAATGATCCATAGGTATGCCCCTCCTTGTTCCCTCCGCTTTGCCCGTGACCACCTCCTGACCACTGCTCGCACGCGTACAGCCAACTCGCGCTTGCAGAACCACTCGTGGGTGGCTCCTTTCCTATGGAATAGCCTGCCTACCGCCATCAGACTCTCCCCTAGTCTTCAATCATTTACGAAGAGCCTTAAAACCCATATCTTCAGGAAAGCTTATGGCCTCCCAGAGTAACCTCTACCTTACATACCTGTCTCTTGCTCTCTCCTATAGGGCAGCACTCTACCCTCTCCTCCAGCTCTGCTTCACTCCCATCCTATTTGATATTTCCTGTCCTAATGTGTCTTATACCCCACCTCCTATAGACTGTAAGCTCGTTTGAGCAGGGTCCACTTCAACCTATCTTTCCTGTAAATTTTCTTGTAATTGTCCTATTTATAGTTAAATCCCCCCTCTCATAATATTGTAAAGCGCTACGGAATCTGTTGGCGCTATATAAATGGCAATAATAATAATATATCAACACACATCAAACACCAACTCATGCTTTTGGCATGACACAAGCATACACTTGACCAACAGTTATGTTGCTCCCGCTCCATTACTCAGGATAACGTTTATAGGGTACTAGCTATAGACGGTTGCATAGTGGCCATCTAGGTAGTTTGCCCAGGCACTCTCCGATGTAGAGATAGTGATCCCACGAGGCCAACACCCACCCTCCATGCAAGAGATAATACGCCCTACGGGCCAAAACATAGCTAGCCACCTCACTTGTTGCATAGCAAGGGCCTCACTTTTCACTCCCTCACCCCTGTTGATTCTAGGTTCACCGAGAGGCCAACACCCCGCCACAACGTTAGGGGGCATGATACCCCTTGCGCCAACTCCTAGATAGAGCCTCTCAAGCTGCTTGGCTACTAGTAGGGACTTATCTGTCACCACCTTAGCGAATGTTTTCACCTCATGGCACTAGCTAGCCTACCAATATACGTCCCTGGTTCTAAGTATATGATTCATATATTTCAGTATGTCCCAGGTACCAGATGATGGAGACAATATCTCAATCCCCAGCACTCCGGCCAGGTCCGCTACCCCCACACGCAAGGGCAACAACAGTAGCCCAGCATCCATAAGATCATGGACTATTCCCCGCATCACTGCCGAGCTACACAAGTGCAGCATCCCATTTCCAGCTACAGCCAGGAAAGCAGAATTGTTCAGGCTGATGCAAGCCAAAACGAAAATACAGACGCTGGGGATGGCACGAGTGGCACAAACAATGCCAACCTCCACACTATGATCGCTTCACTAGTGTCCTCCATGGGGCAAATCAATGATAGACTGGAGAGCCACAACACCAGAGCCCCTCACGGCCCAACTTGTGGGCATCTCTCAGTCACAACCTAGTAATACTACGCCCACCAGCTTGTATCACAGGTCATTAATCCAGCCCACATGGTATCGGCGGATCTTAAAAAAAGATGTCATAGAGATGTCATAGAGAATCGCTCATACTCATACGGGGATATCTCGTGGTCCTGAAGGCTAGAGACCCGAGACTCAGTAAGAAACTGTCAATTACAGACTTTGTGATTTCTTTCAGGATTTACAGGGATATGTTATGTTCAGTTTACCCACATAGAAGGGAGGAGCTGGACCTCTACATGCACAAGCTGGTGGATCTGGGCAACAAATACGGTGGTTCATCTTTCTATGACTACCAACGCTCATTTCCAGCGAAGGCGTAGGCAGCTCTGGCTCAGTACAATGTCAGGATGGATTGGAGGCAACTGGACATGGAGCTGTTCCTCAAACACTTCGCTGGGCTGAGGGCACCAACTTGTGCAATATGTGCAGCAACCACACATTCGGCCAATCTCCGTCCGGTTTCAACAGACTCTACCCCAGCACTACAAGGATAAACTTAGGCAAGTCCCAAATATGCAATAACTTTAATGTAGGGACTTGTGCATATAGTGCCTGTCGACTATTACATGTATGCTCTCATTGTTTCATTGCACACGCAAAAGCCATGTGCCCAAATCAATTGCATCTGAAACCCTATTTGACATCGGTTAATATCGGTGTTCTAGCAGAACTGCTATCCACTCACCCTTCTAAGCATCTGGTGGAGTTTCTGAAAACAGGTTTTTTCCAGGGTATCCACACGGGCCTTATTTACATGCCAGCAGGGACATGGGAATGTAACAACCTATAATCAGCCATGGCCAACAGAGTCAGTAGAGGCATTACAACGAATAGAATAGGAACAAGGGTTTGTTTTAGGGTCAAAGAGCCTCTTGGCCAGGTCACAGGAAAAAACATGAACAAGCAGAGATTGATCATAGATCTCTCTGCATTACATTTTTCTGTAGTCACTAGCCTTAACTCCCTTATTCCCTTCCGAAGAATTTTCACTGCAGTACTCTACGATCGACGATGCAGTGACAGCTATCATATCAGCTGGCATAGGGGCCTGGCTTAGCAAGACAGACATTGTAAATGCATTTAAGTTTCTGCCCATTCATCCATCATTATGGCACCTGCATGGCATGAAATGGAGGGGTCTCTACTATTTTTTTACGAGGCTCACCTTCGGCTCAAAGAGTAGCCCGAAAATTTTTGACACTTTTACGGAAACCTTGTGTTGGCTTCTCCTGAATACAAGCTGGTGCCATAACATTATCCATTATCTGGATGATTTTATGTTCATAGAAAGTAATGTATCTTCCCTATGTAGTCTAGACAAGGCGGTACAATTATTCCACTCACTAGGGGTACCAATGTCACCTAAAAAGACAGAAGGTCCAGACAGTATAATCAATTTTCTAGGGATACAGCTTGACTCGGTGGCCATGGAAGCCAGCCTACCTCAAGGGAAAGTTACCAGTATCCGACACGACATAGACTACTATATACAGACGGGATCATGAAAGAACTTCAATAACTGATTGACTCACTAAATTTCACTATGCAAATTATTCCACAAGGTAGAGCATTTATTTCCAGACTCCTGAGCCTCCTCCCCACATTCTCCGATAATAGCAGTCATATCTCCCTTGATTATCAAGCCATGGCAGACCTCCATATGTGGAACATGTTTCTCTCGAATTGGAATGGGAAAAGCATGTTTTTCCCACAGGTATCCATAGACTCCCCTACCATTTGGATGGCATCCACTGGTTTTGCAGTCATATTCGGCAACGAATGGCTTTGGGGTAGTTGGCCAGATGAAATGCAGCACATAGAGGAGTTCTACAAGAACTAAGCACTGTTAGATGTATACCCAATTTTAGCAGCAGCAGTGTCATGGGGCCATTTATGGGCAGGGAGACCAGTACGGTGTTTTCCAGACAACTTGGCAATCTGCCACATCATAAACAAAGGTCGCTCATCTTCATTAATGATAATGAGGATTATTAGGAGACTGACTTTGCTGGCAGCCTGTCATCAGTTTTACTTGGTATGCCACTATGTCCCAGGCATTTTTAACACTGCAGCTGACCGGTTGTCTCGTTTACAATTTCAGACTTTCAGAAGGTCCCTACCTACCGCTTCACTACTGGCCACAACCGCCCCCCTGCTGCAAGTCCTAATTATAGATTACACGCCTTACTACGCCATAGCAAGGTTGTGACAAAACTGGCCCTATCCACAAACATGCATAGCGCATATGACAGGGCGTTTTTTTTGTATCAGAGGTTCATGTCAGAACACCACCTGACCAACTGGTTTGACATAACAGCCTTGGTGGCTTTCACCACTTTTTGCAACCTCAATAGTGATGTACCGAACGGTTCGCCGGCGAACGGTTCCTGGCGAACATAGCATGTTCGCGTTCGCCACGGCGGGCGAACATATGCGCGGTTCGACCCGCCCCCTATTCGTCATCATTGAGTAAACTTTGACCCTGCACCTCACAGTCAGCAGACACATTCCAGCCAATTAGCAGCACACCCTCCCTAGCAGACCCTCCCACCTCCTGGAAGGCATCCATTTTAGATTCATTCTCAAGCTGCATGCTTAGTAAGAGGAGGGAAAATGTAGCTGCTGTTCATAAGATAGGGAAAAGTATAGCTAGGTTAGGGTTAGGGTATGCTTTTTTTTTATTTATTTTTTCTATGTAATGTAATTGCACTTAGTTGTCTGCCACTGCTGCCAGCTTCTGTGTCAGGCCCACAGTGCATACTGTGCCCATTTCCCCAGTCAGTGCCACCACTTACATCTGGTGTCACAATAGCTTGGATTTAAAAACAAAAAACTTTTTTCACTGTTATAGATTGAATAGCAGCCAGTTGTCTGCCACTGCTGCCAGCTTCTGTGTCAGGCTCACAGTGCATACTGTGCCCATTTCCCCAGTCAGTGCCACCAATTACATCTGGTGTCACAATAGCTTGGATTTAAAAACAAAAAACACTTTTTTCACTGTTATAGATTGAATAGCAGCCAGTGTCCTTAAAGCGGGTGTGTTACGCTAACAGTGGATACGCTGACCAGTGCCACTAATTAGATCCTGTGTCACAATAGCTTGGATTTAAAAACAAAAAACTTTTTTTTACTGTTATAGATTGAATAGCAGTCAGTGTCCTTAAAGCGGGTGTGTTACGCTAACAGTGGATACGCTGACAAGTGCCACTAATTAGATCTGGTGTCACAATAGTTTGGATTTAAAAAAAAAAAAATCTTTTTTCACTGTTATAGATTGAATAGCAGTCAGTGTCCTTAAAGCGGGTGTGTTACGCTAACAGTGGATACGCTAACAAGTGCCACTAATTAGATCTGGTGTCACAATAGTTTGGATTTAAAAAAAAAATAATCTTTTTTCACTGTTATAGATTGAATAGCAGTCAGCGTCCTTAAAGCAGGTGTGTTACGCTAACAGTGGATACGCTGACAAGTGC